ATATCTGTAAAGCACAGAACGATTAATAATGACATCGACTAATAATAATAACTAGACAAACTAGTACCAGTAATTAACAATAATGATATTGATAACAATAACTAGAAAGTAGAAAGGTTTGTAGTAGATTTATTTGTCACACACACACACCACGCACGCACACATTAAACACATGTGGTTAGTGTTGGTGTCGAATACAGCAGTTGTGTTAAGGTCCATAAAGCATAAATTATTTCAGTAAACCACAAAACTTTTCACACTGCGAGTCTCTGAGCAGGATTTTCAGACTGAGCAAAATCCACTTTGGAGCGTGACAATTTTTTAAAATAAATCTAATCAAATCCGCCTTCGTCCGAGCCATTAAATTTCCCTTTATTGAAAATGTATATAATAATAATAATAATAACAATAATAATAATAATAATAATAATAATAATAATAATAATAATAATAATAATAATAATCTTTTATTTTGAAATGGGGGGGGGGGGGCAGGTTTGACTGGCACTTCTCTAGTGACACCGACAGGTGAGACGCGCACTAACAGTTGGATTATGGTATACGGGGGCCTGAAACTGAAACAAGGGAGCTCGCTGCACACATAGTCAGATTATTTGAAAGCAGAGACTCACTCACACAGGGCTTTTGTGCAACGCCGAGAGCCTTTTGCATTCTCAGGCATGCAGCCACACTTCCCCTTTTTTCGAGCTGCAAACACACACGCACACACACACAGCTCGACTTCTTCACAAAGACTAAAAGAGATGCGTCGGTCCGGGTCGTGCCGCGTCGTTTAGATGTGACAGACATGCAAGCACCTGGGAAAGTGTGTGTTGCTATTTCTCTCTCTGTTTTTTTTTTCTTTTTTTTGGCTTGATAATATGTTGCAGAAATCAAACAGGAACTGATCCAATGCATGTGACTTAAGAAAAGCAGGCCTCTGCAATGCAGCGTTTTGCACAGTGTGCTTGGTGCTCCGGGAGAAAAGCTTTCAGCGCTGCGCTGAGTTTACACTGCCGCACTGAAGACCCGATTAAAACATCCAAATGAAACTCTTCAGATCGCCAAATATCTTTAACTGCACATTATCTCACATGATCCCGGAATTCACATCTTTATTTGCATTAATGGCCCAGTGTATACTGCTGAATAATCCCGATGATATGCATCAACTAATCCTCTGTTTTCTATACACCCCATCAAAGACGCTGATATTAATCTCATTACAGAAAACTGGTTTTCAGCGGCGCTGAAATAACCTTTAAAATAATTATCCACCCTCTTCACAATTTGTAAATATCTCCCTCCTCTCTGTCTATCTGTCTTCTTTTTTCCCTCCCCTCGGTGGTTCGTGCACTCTGCCACGGCGACGGTTCAGCCGCTTTTTCCCTGTGAATGAACGAGCAGTATCCGGTGCTCTACCGCTGGGTAAACAATGCAACTGTGGCGTGCACTGGTCCGACAATAATGGGATTATCTTAAACATATAAACGGGGCGACACAGCCCAGAGAGTTGGCTTCCCCTCTGTCTCTCTCCCACTCTCTGTTAGTGCAGAGGAAGATGAAAAAATGACCTTATTTATGGTTCAACTCGGAAATCATTTGCGTCATGATTTTTTCCTTTTTACCTCAATATAAAAAAAGTTAAATTCATATTTTTTTTTATTTCAGTTGTCAATGGTGTTAATCTTTTTCCCCCATTTTTTATTTTTAATTTATTTTTAAAAATAAATATAACGTATTTTATATTTGTTTTATTGGTGTTATATTATATTTCATATTATTATATTTTTTTTTTAAATCAGACCATTAAGGGAAATCTGTGAGGTATTTTTGCGACTGTCTGGGTTAAACTGACTCCTGCGGCCTTAAACCTCCATGTGAGGGATGAACGTGCTGATTATGGGCATTTATTTTAGAAATCTATGTGATATTAAACACGGCTGATCATTAAAGGCTGCAATTCTGGGGAATGCTGTTAGATCAAAAGGGAATGTAATAAAGCGCACGCCTACCTGAAGTGGACCTTGTTTTTGGTCTTGTTTTGGAACCATAACTAGAAGATGACCCACCTATCAGGCTACTTGGTGGGAAGAGGCCTGGGCCGTATTCAGGGACATAGGGTGGGTATGTGGCGATGGGGTGGTGGGCAGAGGATGACCCTGCTCCGATTGATGCCACGCTCCGGCTGTGAGCTGACTCCAGTTTCATACTCTCGGCCAGGGTCACTTGGTACTTTATGCACTCTTTATCCTCCTGCCGCCCGGAGCTGCTGGAGCCGGGGGTAGATATGCCCGGATCCGGGGATACGTCTTTGGGAGGGGTCGGGGGAAACGTGAAGAGGTGTGGACTGGAGTGACCGGTAGACAGGGAGGAGGAGGATGAGGCTGGGGGGTAGACGGACAGGCTGGCCGGGGAGCCATGGTGCAGGTTCTTGGGAAAGGGGCTCAGGTTCCAGGGAGAAGTGCTGTGGTGCGGGGGGATTCCTTTGCTCCCCTCCAGCCAGGGCAGAGAGCCGTGCAGTAATGAGGGACGGCACACCTGGCTACCTGAGGCAGCACAGAAAAACAACAGAAAAGATCACAACCTGACTTCACTCTGCAGTAAAAACAAATACACATTGCCATTTAGAGTTGTCGGGCTTCAGGCCTGAAAAAGCAGGATTTAAGCTTTACACACAAATTAAGCAAACAAATCAGGTGACATTTCTTTGTTTCTTTTTTATTATTATTATTATTTTTAATTATTCCACACACAGAAGCAATCATTCACTGTGACCAACATCCAGTTCTACATTTAAAAAATCCTGACAGTTTGTTTACACGTAGAAATTATTTGAACCCCTCTAGTGTGTAGAAATCTGAGAGTTTCATGTGGCCACGCACGTGCGTAAATTTACCCTTTAACCTTCCTATTGAGCGGGCCTAAATGCAACATATGAATGCATGTAATTCAAAAGTAACTCGACTGTTGAGGAAGTTAAAGCCTACATCATAGGAAACTTCATAAATGACTACGCGTCAGTGACTGGCACATTAGAAAATAGACAGTTGGAGTGTGAGAGCAGAAGCCAAAAAACAAAACAAAAAAAACATAAATACCAAAGTGTTCCAGGTGTATCTCTGGTTTCTGTGCCAACACGTCTATTTGTTTAAATCCGTAACTAAACACTCGATCGATCCAGAAAACAAATTGGGCACGAGCTTTTAAAAAAGGAAAAAAAAAAACTTCACCAGCATATGAGTCAGCTCATGTTTGTGAACTTTAAACGGGAATTGACTTCAGTACGAGCCATACTCAGAAACCATACGCGTAAACTACACATATTCACGCCGTGGTTTCACAACACTTGAGTTTTATAAGTCGAATCAACCCGGGCTAAAATCGAAACTCGTTTCTTTTTTTTCTTTTTTTCCTTTTTTCTTTTGTCTGGGTCACAGTGAGAAAATAATTCCGAGCTGTAATGGAGCCTGCCTGCAATTACGCACGGGCATCCAAACAAATAAAGGGAGCAAATGATTAAATAAAAGGCCTTAACAGGCCGTTTACTTACTGTGTGGAGGAGGAGGGTACCTCTGGACGGCTCGGACAGAGTTTCCATAGTATGGAGAGACGTGGTTCCCCTGTCCATCGATATTAAAGAGTACATCCACATCTTCAGCGAGGGGATACTGCGAAGGGTCCATGTATGAGTGGCCGAGGCCCGGGTGATGTGAGCCAGGATGCTGTTCGTTCATCACCGCGGGATGATGGCTTATCCATCGTGGCTGGTCCGCACTTACTTCCATCGCTTGATTTCTTTAGATATATTTTTTCGTTGCTTTAGCAAATGTTCATGCACGCTGAAGCAAACTGGTACAAGTCAAAAGATAAGAAATAAACTGTCCCAAATCCGCGTGTTTGTTAAATCCACAGGTTCCGCGCTTGCTTCCGATCACCTGGAGACAGAGGGGAGAATTTATTGTCTTACGTTCTAACATTTGTTTACATGCAACGCTTCTAAAACTTGGCAGGACGCTCACGCTTAAGCAAATTCACACGCGATTTTTTTTTTTAAATTTTTTTTAACAAAGACAGAAATTAAACAGGGAACATACCCAACATTACAAATGCAACTGAGGTGCTGTCACAGAAATACGTCCAAAATGGAATCCGGTCCCACGCAGAGCTCCTGAACTTCTTCCTCTTAGCAAACAAACAGCGAGAAAAAAAAGTCAGTGTTTCAGCTCAACAAGTAGCGGAGGCTCGTACGGGGCGCAGGCAGGGCTTGTTTGCAGTGGATGGCCTCACTGCGCACTGACCAGCACCAGCAAGTTAGACTCACTGATCAAATCTCTGTTTGTGCGCAGTTGAAGCCCTCTCCATTAACTCCGCTCCTCTCTCTCTCTTTCCCTCTAGGTCTGTGAGTCTCTTGCTTACTCACCCTTGCCCTACCTCTCTCGCTCTCTCTCTCTCTTTCTCTCTTGCTCCTTCCAGTCCCCCTTCTTTTTTTCCTTTTCTCTCTCTCTCTCTCTCTCTCTCTCTCTCTCTCTCTCTCTTTTTTTTTTTTTTTTTTTTACAGTGAAGGCATTCTTTCAGGATGGCGCCAGGCAGCTCAATGCTTGCAGACAGCTGTGGCGCGACGCAACTTAAGGAGGGTCTGTCAGTGTCATCAGTTAAGGGGAGGGGCCTGCTCTAATTGAATACAACATTTGGCCAAGGAAGATATAGAAGAGCTGCAAGAATTTATTACCTTTTTAATGTTTGTTTGTTTGTTTGTTTGTTTGTTTTCTCTGAACTCATCAAAAGAGGTATATTTGTTTTAAATATGAAAATTGTACTGTAGTAAGGCCTTATACACTTAACAGCTGTCTTATGCATGCAAGCGTGCTAGGTGTGCAAAACTCGTGTTGTAGGAAGTTATTTTATTTTGAATTAATCTATAAAATATGATACCTACGTTTATAAACTTAAAAGGGAAAACTTATAAATTCACCTTCAGCGTCATTAAAGTTGACAAGTATAAAAATGATAACCAAAAATAAAAGTTTTAAACTCCTTTTCTAAGAAAAAAAACTTTTATTACAACAGCCACTAAAGTCTGCGCTTTTTCCTGCTACAGTTTGCAAGAAGAGAAGAGCAGAAGCTGCTGCAGAGCCTGTTGCTCTGGGCCAACGGCATGTTGCGGGACATTTATGCTCTTAAAATTGTGACAGTGCGTCCTCTCGCGGTGACAGCCACATTATTCTAATGGCAGATCCAAACTGAGCCGATTTCCTCACCGCGAAGGGACGCCTGGGTGACTAAGCCTCCAGTTTTAAAAAAAATGAAAAGTTAAAAAAATCGTTATAATGTAAGCTATTACTGGCTGTTACTTAACTCAGTCGGTATCTGTGCGGTAGCTGCAACCTGTTCACTGCAGCTCAGACAGACGAGCAACAACGAGCGATGTCAAGATTTATTCACAACAGTGAATAACGCGCATTGATAACTCGCACTGCGAGTGACCGTAGCCCGCCTCGCTTTGACCAGTTTTTCTTTTTAAATAAACAAACTGGAATTTAAAAGGATGTGTGCGCCGTGACACGGCCATGATGCCCTACGTCTTCCACCTGAGAAACAGTCCCCCTGTATCCCTCCCCGTGGGCAGGTGTGTGTGTGGGAGGGGGGAGGTTTTTTATGTCTAAATCCCGGTTTGATCTGCGTATACTGTCAGACTGGCGGTGTGTAATAGTAGCAGTGTGTGTGTGTGTGTGTGTGTGTGTTGGGGGCAGCCACTGGAAGTGACGTCACCGCGGTGTAAACAGTCAGGAAATGAATCCTCTCTCGGCGGCTGCGGGAGCGCGCACGCCCTCGCACCACGTAGGTATTGGCATGAATTTGCTGTGGGTGTAATAATAGGTGGGGGTCACTTCCTTAGAGTGGGGGGTTGGTACCAAATAAATAAATAAATAAAAGCATTAAGGTGATCAATGAAGACGCCATCAGACAGATTATTTAGCAGGTGAGTCCTCAGTTGCATGCGCACAGGTGATGGCTCATTCATTCAATCCCGTCTGAAATTATTAAGCTTGCTCTTAACCGAGCGCTTGGGAGCACGGGCAGAGGAGGACTTGGCAAAGCGTGCTATTTTTCCCTCTCTCCAGGATAGCCCTACCTGGGGAGAGGGAGAGGGAGAGCGAGCGTTTCTCACACAGGCAAAGCCCGAAACTGAACTTGGACGCAAACTGCTGTAGCTGCCATTGTCAGGCTGTCAGCCGACTCGTGTAATTATCCTCTTGAAAAAAGTATCGCGGAGCGTTATCCACAAAGTAGCCGTTATAGGTGCTCGAAGGCAACACACGACGGTAAAATGTGGCCTAAAATCCCGATTATGTGTTTTTGTTTCTTGACTGGATGCATCGAAGCTTAGAGAATGGGACATGGAAGCCATCCCATCACTTGAGTCCCCAAGCCTCGGTGTCAATAACGCCGGGGCTTATTCAGCGCGGGATATAAGACTGCCTCTCCCTTTCTTAAAAAAAAAAGGAGAAAAAAAGTCATTTTTAATCCTAAACTGTCGTCACGAAGGGAGAAATGGTGGCTTTGGCTCTTTTTTCTCTCTGTGTGTGTGTGAGGACGAAAAAGCGAGAGGGGCTAAAACGAGCCCACATTAGTCTATTTTTGTAGTTAATTGCCTACAACTAGCACCGATGCTGTGCGCAAAGATTTGTTAAAGGTTTATTCATAAACGCGGGCGAGGGTCCAGTCCTTTTCTTGATGGCTTAGATAATTTCTGCGAGATTATGTTAGCCAGCTTTGATTAAAATCGAGCCACTTTCTTTTTTTTTTGTTCTCTTCACTGCAGTTAACACAAGAACGGATTATTCCATTGCCTGTGTGTGTGTTTGTGTGTGTGTTTAGGGGGATCAAATGTTTTAGATAACGTCTAATGCTTGCGTGCATGTGCGTGCGTGTGTGTGTCTGTGCGTGTGTGTGTTTACTTTGTTCCTCAGCGTCCCGTGTTCACAAAATTACAATCATTGTTTTCCCTCATAAATAAAAGTTTCTTTCCGCCAGCTGATTAATCAAAGGTCAGCGAGATAAAAATCATACTATATTATTACATTAGATGGTGTAACAGTTATGCCACCACCAGTGAGTGTTCGCCCACTGCTACCACTACAGTAATATCAATACTTTTTTGAAAAGGAAAAGAAATTCAAATGATATGAGTAGCAGCTCGTGTGAGGTACATTTAGAGCCACGAAGAAGCAAGAAGCTCTATTGTAAAATAATATTGAAAAGAAATCGCCTGTGCGCATGCGTGTGTGCGCATTTACGGCCTGTTATCTTGGGTCGTAATGTGTCACGTATCTTTATTTATTCTGGCACGCACAGATCTAAGATACCCAGCCAGAATTAGACTTAATTTTTGTGAAATATAATTTTTTAAAATATTTTTTTAAATCAAAAAGCACTTTGGCGCAAGAAAACACACGACATAAGAACATAATCCAAAGAGCTTCTGTGGAAAAAAAAAAAAAGAGATGCCCAGCCAGTGATTAAAAATGCTACGGGCTATAGTCATGCTGTAAATTGTGATATTTTTTACTGGTTAAGCGCTCATTTATACATTTTGAAACCCGTATATTACCGCAGGTAACCTATTTGTTTCTTACTCAGTGAGTCATTTGTCACCTTTCTAGTCTTTTCAAGAAAAAAGTGGGGCTGCTTTTCTGTCAGCATGGGAACCAAGTCTGGTTCTTAGAACAAAACTAGGGCGTAAAATTCTGCTTGTTGGGCGCGTGAAACTTAAAAACAGAACTGGCTTTCCTAGAACGATTTAAATGAGCAAGAGCTGAAGGATTGATCACATTTTCTTCGAGTGTGTTTAAAAAGAAAAAGAAAAGAAAACTAGCACATCAGATTTTGTGTCATTCTTCCCAACGAAGAAGAAAAAAAAGAGCAAAGAAAAAAAGGGGGCTGCCAATTGACTGAGTTGTGATTCTTATCTTTATATCACGTCTCGCCAGACGCACTGATGTAATCTTTCATTTGAGGTGCAGGGCCTTTTCACCTCTTGTCTTGTGCATCTCCAAACAGAAGTCATTCATCATTCAGGCACTAAATTGTTTGGCTGATTTTTTTTTTTTTTTAATTTATTTATGTTATTAATCTTTGTGATTTAAATGCGTTTAAAGTGGAGCTCGGAGTGCTAGCAGCCTCTCTGACACCTCATGCAATAACGAAATTTCGATTGTGACGGGAAATTGGAGTGAAAGTGCTATCCGCTCGAGCGGTCCGCTGCTTCTTCTTCTACGTTTTTAATCCGAGTTTATATTATTTTAATAATAACACCGTATTTTTTATCCTTTTATCCTTTTTTTATCCTATCGAATCCTATCCTCTTTTCTAAGAAGCGAAAAAATGAAGGGAAGAAAAAAAACATCAAGGTGTCCGAGGGTTTCTCTCGTGTTCTGCTCCCCGCGTGCAAATAACCGTTGGAGCTTTTTGGCCCGTGACTGTGCGCGTGTGATGCCCCTGATTTAGCTTCCTATTCATTCTGAACAGCGGCTCTCTCCCTCTCTCGCACTCACACAAACACACCGCCATCTCGAGACACAAGGACCAAAGACGAGATGGAGGAAACTAATAACGGGCTGGGTGTGTGTGTGCGTGTGGGGGTGCAAAGCAGCCTCAGCAAGCCCAGCTCCTTCTTATGACCCGCCGGCAAAGGTAATCAGATCAATTTCACGGCTTGTATGGGATTCTCGCCTGCACCACCAGGTAATGCGAGAGGTAATGGGTCGCTAAAAACACTCATCTGTGCTATTTTAGGTGTAGGTTAAATAATCTAAGAAGTGAAACCGGCTGTCGTTTAGCCTTTTTACATATCAATCCGTTGACTCAGGCGAGCCAAAGAAAAAGAAATGCTAGCTTAATTATCAGCCCGGCCAACCAAAGCAAATTTCGCCTGAGCTGCTAATAAATAAAAGGATAGAGAAAGCAGTTAGCATTAAACGCAACAATGGCGCTCGTTATGGATGTTGTAGCCAGTATTGTCAACAATACCCCCCCCCCCCCTTTTTTTTTTTTTTTTTTTTTAATTCCACCAAGTGCACACAGAGCGATGTTGAGGGGGAGAGATGAAGGTGTAACGGGTAGCTTCATCTCCGGCTTCACTGAAGTCCAGTCAAAAAAAAAAGATTAAAAGAATGTTACCGCTTTACTCATAATTTTCGTTTATAGTCATTTAATCTAGCACCCGAAAAAAAGCACATTCACAAAAGTTTCCCATCATTCTCAGACCGTCAGTGAGCTCACAGACAGGCTACAAAGCCACCGAGGGAAGCGGCAGCTCATTGGATGGGGCATTTAGGATGCGGCGGCTTCAGAGCAAATCTAAATATTTACTGACCTGCAGTGGACGCTGGACGGGTGGAGGCTTTTTTTTCCGCAGACGTGAAGGAAGAGTGACATAGAGATGGAGGCGCCGATGGCATTTAGAGAGAGGCAGAGGAAAAAAGAACGAGAGGGCGAGGAGCTGTGGACGGGGAGGGGAAAAACACACACGCAGACACACACACACAAACACTCACACACACACTCTCAGCACAGCGCTAGGAGTAGTGGTGGCGGCGGCGGTGATGGTGCGCGCGCGCCCTCGGTCCCGGAGTCACAGCGTCACAACTCAACGCGAGGAGGAAACACGCGCGCACATAGGCTGTACCGGGCAGGCTGCACGAGCACACGGGCCAACCAAAGGCGGCCTCTTTACCGTACTTACTGTACAGAACACGCCAGCTCTTCCGGGTCTGAAAGCACAGCAAGTTATGGGAATAGAACGGCAGTAGAAACCAATGGGAATCTATTGTAGGGTTAAAATAGAAGTGATCTATAATAGACAGTCATTTATTATGATTTCGATGCGATTTAAAATGAGATTTCTTATTTTTAAAAAATACTATTTTTGTGTTTAACCCCATTTTGTTGTATCCAGGTGATCATGTTAATTCAGGAGACGCCCAATATTGGCACACAAGCCGAACGAAAGTAAGATTATATTATATTATATGTAAGAAAAAGGCGATTGTGGGCATTTGTACGTGATTTTTTTCTGATTGAGCAATGCACAACTGTATATTGTGTAACTGTAACTGGCTATTATCTATATAGGCTTTTATGTGGTGCCTGTACAGTTTCTGTCACTGTGAGGGCTTGTGCTCTGCAGATATTTCACCGCAGAACACAAGCCCTCACAGTGGCAGAAACACGTTGCACGTCCCTTTGTGTTAGGAGAGGAGCCCCTTTCTCTCCCCTGCCACAAAGGACAGATGAAGCCATAGCTGCTCGGTGTCTAATCAACACCCCAAAAAAAAGATTCACAAACTACTCAGCAATTACAGAAAAACATTTCAGAAAGAGGAGAGAAAAATATACATATGTAGGCAATAAATCTGAAAATGTGATCGAGGCTACGAACAGCAAAAGCTTCACACCAATACACACACAGAGACACACACTGAGCATATAGAGGCCGGCCAGCCTGCTTATTGACACCATGGTTGATTGAAAGGAGCACCAAGCAAATCCGATCCTTCTCTCTGTGAAATGCACCGAGGAAAAAGAGAGGAGAGGAGAGGAGAGGAGAGGAGAGGAGAGGAGAGGAGAGGAGAGGCGAGGAGAGGAGAGGATGCTGGAGGCTTGGTATCTCTCATGATGCGCATTGACTCTTTGAAGGAGAATGTAAACTGATCACACCCAAATCTATCTTTGGGGGAGAAATTCAATTAAGGTAATAAATTAAAGATAATTGGCGCAAACCTCGTTGTATAAACTTACGAACGCGACTACAGCCAAATGCGTCTTTTTTTTTAAATCAATGAATTATTCAGCAGCCTTCTTCCACACAGGGACCCACCCAGTGTCTAAATAGAATTACAGAATAACGACAGCGTCAAATTGTAATGATTTATTAATCTGCTTTTGAGGTAAATAAAGTGTTTTTTAAATTATGTTCTATTTTATTTTTGATCAGGGGAATTATTTGATTTCAATGTAAAGATGAAGTTAATATGCGGATGCGATAAATGAGCGCGCTGATGAGAAACGATGATTAAAGCGGCATTCATGCGCGCTCGCGATTAAAGCACATTATAGGTGTAATAAAAAGATTAATTACGAGGAAAATAACCAGAATCAATTCGGTCCTGTTCACTGTGGGTACAATTAAATAAAGGCGGGAAATAACGTTTAATTTTAGGCGGCGGATGTGAAAAGCAGTTTTGTTTTTAAAGAGGGGGAATGCATTTTTTTTGAGGGGGGGTGGAATCGAGTCTTAATTAATTTTAAATAGAGACTGTAAACGGGTTTAGAGTTTAGTACAGGCCCCACAGTGTCACATTAGAGGTATGAGGCTGTGTAGTGTTTTGCACTTCCTCTAACAGGGATTTGACGAGAGCGCATGCGGCCTGGAGCCCGAGTCCAAAGTCACTCGCCTCTCTTCTTCTTCCTCCTGCTCTTCTTCTTTTTTTTTTTCCTGCCGTGAAATCGCGTGATTAATGTAGAATTTGACGCGAGCTCCCGCGTGACAGCTGACAACAGCTAAGCACCC